AGAGGGGAGAAAGGAGGAAGAGATGAAGTATGGGTAAGGAGGGAGGAGAGAGAGATAGTGAGGGAAGAGGAGGAGGGAGAAAGCTGGAGGAAGTGGGGTAAGGAGAGAGAGAGAGAGGAGTCTGGTAGGGCGTAACAGGGGAGAGAATAAGTTTGATTAGGGGAGGAAGGGGAGACAAATTAGCCTATTTGGGGGAAAGACACGGTCCTACGTGCTGTGTCATGATGGGGGAGTGATGGGAGGGATGGGGGAGGGAGGATGGGGAGTGATTGGAGGATGGGGAGCCGGAGGGGTGGGGAGAAATGGGAGGGTGGGGAGAGGATAAATGTTACTTCCTCGTCAATTCCATCTGCTGCCTCTCACCTCTGTTTTTCCTTTTCCTCTCCCTCTGTCTTCTTCTTCCCCTTCCTCTCTCCCTCCTTCACCCGCGTACATTTCGCTGGCATGTAAATTCACATTTGGCGAGACCAAAGACTTCACCCCCCCCACACACACAGACACACACCTGGCACACTCTCTCTCCCACACACACCTGACAACACTCTCATCTCTCCCAAACACACAAACTAAACCCCCACACACTCACCCTCCCCCCACTGACCTCCCCCTCTCTCTACACACACACCTCACCCCCCACACACCATCATCTCTCCCCAACATTCTCACCTCCCCCCCCACACACACACTCACCTGGCAACACTCACAATTTCCCCTGAGGCGGGCAGAGTGAGGCACCACCTGTGTTGTCACCTTAAATATGGCGTCTCAGCCCCTGGAGAAATATTGCTCTCCTTGTTGCTGTATGTCAGATAAATGTGCGAGGTGGAGGCCGGTGGTGTTGTGGTAGGGTGTGGTGGTGGTGTGGTAGATGTGGTGGTGGTAGGTGTGGTAGGGTGTGGTGGTGGTGGGGTATCTAATCTTCAGGTGAAATAAACTGGGGGTGTCTGATCTTCACATAATCGTATACTAACGCGCCTGTACAATATCTTTAATGTGGTGAAAATGGAAGGTTTCTCAAATATATTGATGTGTACAGTACTTCACCACTGGAATATTTAATAAGAATAATGGAAAAATATTGTCGCTCGATTTATACCTTTTAGAAGAGTTAGTGAGTAGAGTGAATATTTACAGGTTGTTTACCGGAGTCCGTCTACCGAGCTTGGAGGAGAGTGAGGGAGGGAGGGAGGCAGGGAGATGTAGAGAGAGAGAGTTATAGAAGAGAGAGAGAGAGAGAGGAGAGAGAGAGGGGGGGGGGCAGGGAGGATGTAGAGAGAGAGAGAGAGAGAGAGAGAGAGAGAGAGAGAGAGAGAGAGAGAGAGAGAGAGAGAGAGAGAGAGAGAGAGAGAGAGAGAGAGAGAGAGAGAGTTATAGAAGAGAGACAAATACATTAGGGAATACATTCATACAACTACATACATCACTTACGCATATACGGTATTTACACACACATACTGATACATTAAAACAGACTGTACTGTACACCCACATAACATTAATACGAACGAAATTAAGTAACTGTGAATAATCCTAGTCACGAATGATGCAAATACCACCTCACACACACTCACACACACACAAGGAATCAGACGTGACAAAATGAAAGGTTACCTGAGACTATAAGATTGAAAGGCGGTGGGTTAATTAATAAAGTCAGTGACAGGTGTACACTTGTGAGGACGCGTGACCCACCACCATCCTGGACTGAAAGGATTAAGTTAGTTTCCACCACACTAGTTGACTGGTGTGTGTGTGGGTGATGGTTGGCACGTTTACCCTCACGACTTGGGCATTGAAACCTTGTCTTGAATGCGAGTGATTGTGATAATAATCTTTTTTCACAGCATGGAAGTATAATTTTCTTCTTTTTGGATCTATTAATTTACCTAACTTTTAAATTTTATATTTATTTTAGAAACCTCGTAAAAACCGACCAATATATGTACTCCTAACCCTCATGCACGTAATAGTATATACGAATAGGTAATGTTCCTAGTACCACACACGGCCATTTCTTTAAACACTCCTCCAGGCAGCAAGTCCGAAGTGCAATTCCGTATGGCGGGTTAAGTTTTAGTAACCTGACAAATAGATTCCTCAAACTCCATTAGCAGCTTGTACTGTACATTCAGGTTATCATTTAGTAACAGTAATACTACAACTACAAGAAAACCCCAAGTGTATTCCTAAAACAAATGAAATCAGTTCACAAATGGAAAAACAAAAAAAAATACCTTACGACTGTAAATTAGGACCTAACTGTACCTAACTACTGTAATTTACAGCCTATCACATAAGAATTGAGTGAAGTATAAACACAGTAATTACCTTAAGGGTTTTGTATAGTGAGAAAGTGGTATAAGAATAAAATATTTGTATTTGTGAATATTGGCAGAGTGAAGACTGGTGTAGCGGGAGATATACCGGTACTGTATGTACAATATTATGAATAAAGACAAAATTGGCAGTCCAGTACAATGCTGTAGAAATAATATGCCTGCCCCTTGATTTATGAAATTATCAGGAATAGTGCCAGTTATTTTAATTAACAAAATAAACAAAATTATTTTGAATTCAGACAAAGTTTACAGTCCTGTACAATATAATTATTTACTGTTCACTGTTTTACTGTATGATCAGCTGTCAATTTATTTTTATCAAAGTAAGGCCGGACTTAAAACTAAAAAAGTAATTCTTCCTATCAAAATTGTAATACTTGGTCTTTTTAAATTAAATTAAAGTATTATTTGGTGTTTTGTCTTGTCTGCCTTATATACAGCACTGTACTGTACTGTACTATAAGGGCATAACTTGGTATGGGTCTTTATATATATTGGTCATTTGTCGTGTTTTTTTTTTGTTGTTGTAAATATTAATGGCATTTATGGCATGATTTAATATACTGTAGTGTCTTATCATTAATCAATTATAAAACTTTTTTCCAACCCTTCCCTCCTCCTCGTCATTACCACACCCCCCTTCCTTCCTCTCTCATCATGACCACACGGCCTCCTTCCCCCTCCTCGTCATTACCAAAACACCCTTCTTCCTTCCCTCCCTTCCCCTCCCTCCTCGTCATTACCAAAACACCTTCCTTCCTTCCTTCCCTCCTCCTCCTCATCATTACCACACACCGTCCCTGCCTGCATCTCGGAGTCTTTAGGGTGGAGTGGACCGGAAAATGAGCAGGGAATTCATCTTCTCCACAGACGACCCACAAAGACGATGTGGCCTCAACACCTGGCACACCCTAGGGCCACCCAGGCCATGCCACCCACACCACGCCACCCAGGCCATGCCACCCACACCACGCCACCCAGGCCATGCCACCCACACCACGCCACCCACACCACGCCACCCACACCATGCCACCCACACCACGCCACCCAGCTAATAATACGAAAGTTCTCGGAAATATTTCGTCTGGTAAAAGGTAAAATACTGTGCAACTTTAAATGTCTCTCATACAAACATCAGTCAAGGTTAGGCACGCGCTTACTCCGCTCTCTTCAGTGTAAATAGAAGACTGTAGGGAGACTTGAACATACAGTACAGTACAACCTCTATGTAACGGTAAGTGAGAGGTTAGTCCGTTAGATCAAGGTCCGTTATAAGAAGGTTTCACTATATAAGAGCCAAAGGAAGTATTATATAAAGACTAAAATTAGCAGCTAACCTAACACTAATCTATTCATAAACTAAAAAAACCTAACTTAACGCTAATCTAAACCTAACTTAATATTAATCTAATCTATCCTAACGCTAATCTAACTCCTTCCCTCAAGTTGCGTTAGAGTGTTTAATCATCAGGTGAAATAAGCAGGCGGGGGCTGATCTTCAGGTGAGTCCTTGATTGAATGCATCGTGAGGATAACTGCAGAACGCGGCGAGGGAACCACAAACCAATAAACGGAGAAAGGGAATAAACAACTTGAATAGGAAACAGGAAGGAAATAAAATGAGAATGGTTGATAAGTAAAAAAAGAATGTTTGGTCGATAATAATACGCACGGTAGTCGGTAGAACCTATTTTGAATAAACTGATGTCAGGTCCTGCCTTCCTTTCTCCCATGAATACAGGGAGCAAGGACAGCCTGAAACATTAAACGGTATTATTACAGTTTCAGCCACAACTCGGTTACAGCAATTTTCTTTTTACCATTAATAATAATATCTTGTCACGAGAAAACTTTTTCTTATACCACTTCCGTCGCAAATTGATATTAACCGAAAGAAAATTTCACTCAAGAAATTAACGTAAATCTGCAGTCACCGCGTGTGGTGAGACTGATGACCGGCCAGTCTGAGCCGTAGAGTACAGTCAGTACAGTACAGCACAGTACTCTCACCTCCACAAAAAACGTAAAATTACACCATGATGCTTCAACAAAGTTACTTTCATTGGTACCAGATTTCAAAATATGTTAGGTAAGTTTCTCTGGGTGGTTAGGTCAGGTTGTATGGGGTGAGAAGTCCAAAACGGTTCATTTCCGACGGAAATAAATGTCAAATTCGAACAACTCACACCAAATACCATGGGAAAAAAATGTGGTCGAACAATAGTTGTGGCTGAAATTGTAAATTTGCCATTTAAATACCATGACGAGCCATTTTCCCTATATAATCCACTTCTGATTGATATAATGAATTATAACTTAAACACTTACCGCTGGAATGTTAGAGAATCTCTCCTGTCCCTCTGGGTACACGAGCAGGATGCCACAATGAAACAAGATTTAGGAGCACAGCAGCAACACACACTGTATGGGGCTGGGGACACCTGATGAAGGAAGACGGCGGCGTCGGCCCAGCCTCAGGTGTATGACGTCATGGCACCTTGTTAATATTATCTCCTTACACACAAGTTGACGTCACGAAATAACAGTCGGCCTTTATAATAGAGAGGACCCTAGCTGCCGCAGACCTACCTCAGCTACGGGACTGGTCAAAAGTGTTTATTATACAGAACAAATAATGATTATCTTAGTCAAAACAAAACAAACTGGTCTTTAAACCCCGCGCCATTGACTCACCTCCACCTGGTGACGTCAGTGTTGTTATCTACCTGTGTCAGGATGGTAAGATGAGCCTCACCTCCTGCTCTTGTTAGTGATTATTTATCGATATTGAAGCTATAATATGATAATATTAATGCAATTTCCCTCACCTACAGGCCCGGCACTTCAAGGAACAGGACATTGATGGTGAGTATTGTGTTGTTGACAAATGAGGAAGAGAAAGAGGAAGTAGTGACACCTGCCTGACGCCATGACTCGGGGAGTAACAATATTTCTTACTAATATAATTTATATCTTAATTCGTCATATATAAATTAATTTTGACATATTATCCATACATAAAGAATTAAATGTGGTTCACGTAGTTAAATATAATTAAAATCTTAACTATGATGCATATTGTGTGTAGGTCACCTGTAATTAGTAGGAATATGGTGGTAGTAAATAATATATTTCATTAATTTTATGTAGGTGTGTATAGTAATGAATAATGGGATCATATGAAGATTAGCCCCAAACAATTTCAGTTGATTAATTACCTAACGTATTTCACCATATGATTAAAAGCCCAATGCTAACCTAACCCGACTCCCCCAGGTAGAATAAGGGTATTTAATCGTCAGGTTAAATAAGTTAGGTTAGCTTTTTAATAATGTGAAATAATCTGGGGGCTAATCTTCATGTGATCCAGATTGTTTTTGTCTATATACTGTACCTGAATAATATGTACAGTAAATCAGTTTGCTTGATCTTAGGTAATGAAGTAGTTAATGAGAGAGCCAGTTAAATTATACAGAAAAAAATTACTGAATAAATATCTATCTTATCTATATCTTTTAATATATTTATCTAAGACAATTATTCACAGTTTTAATGACCCTCTTCTATTGACCAGGGTCGTGTTTACAACCAGAGTTTTAGAAAATTTGAGTCAGACACACCACATTACAGTGTCCTGACGAGGAGGTGCACAGCCAAGCATAGTAACAGTGTCTTAAGGGAGCCCCACGCCGTTGAAGAACCTTATGATCGCCATATAAGCCCCACTAGTTAATTTGCCTTATTTAATTTCTCCTCACAGACCCGAGACCTTTAGTTTTTTGTCAACGTAAACACGGGAGTTATCCTGTGTGACTGCTGTTTGAGGATGATGCTATAGTATTAGTCAAGGAAAAGTTACCAGTAGTTAGTGTTCAGAACTGTTAATATCTTAGCAGGTGACTACATAAAGTTAAGTAAATATAAAGTGAAATTTAAAAATATTTCCTGCCCAAAAGTGTGAACAAACCCCAACATTAATAAATTCATATAAAAACACAATAGGTAACAGGTGGTTTATCTTCATACAGAATTCAGGGAGTGTTTCTCCTTGTATGCTCGCAATGGACAGATCCGCACCCTGGACCAGTTGACAGTAATCATGCGTTCCCTGGGCATGAGTCCAACCATCTCTGAACTCAAGAAATATTTTAAGGACAAAGGTATGAGGATTATTATCATGTTATGTTTGTTCTTGTTAGTTTGAATTAAAAACTTAATATTTTATGACAGTATCTTCCTCTATGTTTAAATTTTCCTTTGATTTGGACTAGTTTTTAGTTTTCAGTGTTAGTTTCAAGTACAGGTACGGGCACATGCGAGAAGGGTGTTATCCCATGACCATCACTACCAAACATCACTGGTTTCCTCCTTTTCTCTAACACTGGATAGACCAGCCGCCCAAACAGCTAGTAAACCGATAGGTGGAGATGATGATAAAGGAAAAATACATCCCTCATACAGGTCTTGATTTATTGTTTATTCACTAATTTCTTCCTTAAACCTATTAGTTATTATTTATCCATGATACCTTAACATATTCTTTTATATTTTTTGTTGTGTTGTAATACTCTTCTCCTCTGATGGTATGAGGATAATAGTGTGTTTTCCTTGACTTTATCCAAGCTTATGTTAAGATGAAGTTACCTGTACATAGAAGCCTTATAGCACTGGTCATTATCCTTACATAACACAGGTGGTAAGATGAGTTTCCCCGACTTCCTGGATGTGATGCACAAACACAGTCAAGTGGAGAAGATACCCGAGGAAATCTTGGCTGCCTTCAGAGGTCACGACCCTAAGAAGACTGGATCCATACCTGCGCGAGATCTTCGACACATACTCCTACAGTGGGGTGAATGTCTCAGCCACAAGGAAGGTAATGTACTTTGTCATCATACAAAGTTTAGCGTGTAACTAAGTCATGAAGGATCCTGTTTGTCATCCTTGACTTTGAGAGGATCCTAACCCCCCGTCACACCCTTTTAACTGCCTCTTGTAAACAGTATTGAGTGTGGCCCTGTGAACATTGTGCCAGTGCCTTGGATGAGATAATCTTGATTTATATTATACATGTTATATTTTATTAGACCTCAGTGACATACAGTAAACTATATGAAGAAGGTATGTTGTCGAGTGTTAGAAAGAATGCCATACTGGGGGAGGCTGCCATAGAGGTATTTGAAGCATAATAATACATGGAAAGAAAGGAGCACTTATTAATTTTGGGAAGAGTTGCTTGCAAGTATACTAGTGATAAATGGAATACAAAGATGGAATATTATAAAATGAACAGATATTGAAAACTGAATCATGAAACCCATTATATCACCAAGATGAGTAGACCAGACCAGAAACCTATAAAATTCCTCTATTTAAGCACCCCAGGGAGGTCAGGTAACACTGTCTGATGCATCACCTTGTACAGTATACAGCTCCTAATCTTATGAACCAGTGTCATAGCCAAGCTCCCAGTCCAGTGGTTAAGTTTATTACATGTCTTTGTTTGCCTGCCTTGTATCTCTGAAGGTACCTGGAGAAATATAACCAACGTGACATAATTCAGTCACGTATTATATCTTTCATATTGTATAATCAGCTTCATAAACATATTGTACCCTACTATATTAATTGAGATTTGAGGGTATGTACCTTATTTTAAAAGAAACCCGGTAATACATCAGATACAGTTGGAACCCTTAAAGTAGTACCCCCAAAACATCACCATCTTGTACTGTGCCAGAGGATGTGATGTTTTTCTTTGGGTACTTTTCTGTTTTCCACCTGTTGGCTGATACACATAGGAACTTATTAACACTGCCGGTAAGTGTGCGTGTATTAACGGAGACCAAACATAAGAGTAAAAACGAGACCTAACAATATAAGATGGATATAGATGACGTTCTTTATAGTCATATTGGTAACCGTATCTCCTGGGAGTAGGGAGATAACGTGTTCTACTTGAGTAAGTTATAAAAAATGTCATACTGTTTATATATATATTTTCTTTCTTTCCTTCCAGTGGAGCAAATCTTCCGTGAGGCCAACATCTCTCCAAATGGTGTCATCAGGTATCAGGATTTCTGCAGGATTGTCTGTGCACCTGTGCCTGATTACTATTGAGGTTAGGGCTGGATACACAACTGCCATAGATTTGTAGCGATCATGAATAAATGTGCCTTACTTTTCTATGGTTAGGTTAGGTTAGGTATGTCAGGTCAGGTCACATTGTAATCAGTTAAATAATATATAAATTATGACAACCTAGTGAACCAAATACTGTACTGTTATATACATATATAAATCTGACTTTCAAAATGATGCTAACTTTATAACCAAAAATACATAATTAACTCCTTTGATAGTCATTGATTATAGAACTAAAAACTTAAGTCGCCTGCACTTATAGTCCCTAGTGAAGTGGCTGATACATTTTATGAGATGTGGCAACTCTGTGGAATGTTTATCTAGCATCCTTTGTCTGTCTACTATTGTGAGGTTCCTTAGGGCCATTCTGGGAGTTTTAATATAATGTAAACAAAGACAGAGTTGCCACATCTCGCACAATGCTCCAGCCAGCCACTGTACCGGGTATAAGACCAAGCGATGTACAGAATTATAGTTCTTAAGAGGTCTTCCAATTTTACATCTGATTTTATATGTAAATTCAATATTTTAAGTCAGCCAAAGATAGAATATACAGTAAAAGTCCAAAAATCCGGATGCCAGGAGTCCGGACCACCCGAGAATCCGGACTTTTCGAAAACTCAAACTTTTTAAATTTAGCGGGGGCTACAATTTATGATATAAAAAAGGCAAAGAATAAAATTCTAGAATTCACAGCTTCTTCTGAGCCTTACATTAAAATTGCTGAAAGAAAAAGTTTACATTGGCCCAAATTAGAAAATCTTGATAAAGTGTTGCACGAATGGTTTTTGTTAAAACGATCAGAAGGTATGGCAATTTCTGGGCCGATACTTATTGCCAAAGCAAAGTCTTTCAAGGAGCAAATGAACATTGAATCAGAGTGCACATTTAGTGATGGATGGCTTAGGAATTTCAAGACTCGTCATGGTATTAGACAGTTTGTTTACATTTTTGTCTAGTGTTGACTTAATATTTCTTTAAAACTGCTCGTTCTGATAAATGAAGCATGCTTTATTTGCTAATGAATAAACTATCAAAATGTACCTGTTCATCTCTTCTTTATTCCTCCTTAAATTTTAATTTTAAAAGTACTGCCTGAGAATCCGGAAAATCCGAAAATCCGGACCGACCCAATCCCCAAGCAGTCCGGATTTTTGGACTTTTACTGTATTCATTTGATACTGCCTGTTGGAGGTCAAGTTAAGCCACGTGTGTACTGGGTCAAGTGAACCAGTACAGTACACACAACAAACGTATGATGGCGCCATGTGATTCGATTGTAATTAAGTAAAGTAAAGAATAATTAAGGAGTTTAGCTAACTGTTTGTATGATTATATTAAATAAAGAGTATTTACACACAGTCTTTCTTACAACTGGTAATTTTATGGAAAAATTTGCATTGAAAATAAGTATACTATACTGTACAAGTAACAAAAAACAGTACAGTTGATCTTCTTCTTCTGTAAGTCATTAGTACTGTACAGTGAGACACATCTGGGATTCTAACTTTTTAAGTTCATGGTTAAACAAAATCATCATGGAGTTAATGCCTTTGTGTCGGGTCTATTTTACCTCACTTTGTTAGATCCCTCACCTCGTGTCCACACTGCCCCTCTCTTCTATCAGCAGCATTTTTGATATGGCTTAGCCCTCTGGTTTTCACTCAGCCCTACCCTAGAAAATTTCTCACAGGCACTAATATGTTGCCTTAATAATTTTAGGTTATATAAATGTCAGTCTGAGGCTCTGAGCAACAGCTTTTTTGTTGGGTCCCAAAACCTGGACCCCCATTGACTACTTATCCCATGGTTACATTTAAGCTGCACTGGCCAACTAACAATTGGATTCACCTTCCTTGTAGCCAATCACTGGGTACTAGCAATAGCCTGATACCTAACCCCATATTTCCAATTGGCCAGAGGTATTTTCCTGTAGCCAATCACGGGGTACTAGCAACAAACTGGAACCTAAGCCTGTATTTCCCATAGACCTAAGGTATAGTACAGTATTTTCTTATGTACTTTACTTTACCCTCTCTGTTAGATACATCTTGTACGATGTAGTCCATTAACTTAACCACTGAATAAATTGAGGGTTTCCTGTATTCGTATACAGTAATATAGTGATTATCTCCGTCAGCCGGATTAATTGGGGCAGAGCAGTTCTGGGATTGAGAGATTTCTGGGTATGGAGATGCATTTTTTCATCTCCCAGAATTTTTCTGGGTACTGTCCTCACATTTCACAAGGACAGACACAGAACTTTATTTATTTATGCAAACACCACTGTACACATACAATATATATTGTAAATAAACATAATATACCACTGTACTCACTAGCAGATGCTGTTGTGATGCAGCAGGCCAAATGGTGATAAGATGATGCAGTAGGCTTGCCTCTGTCCTGTACCATGTGTTGCTAACTGTCACTCTCCTCTCCCTCCCCGAAGGTGGGATTGTACACACACTGTATACTGTACATACACCCTCTACACACAAGTGTACAGTAGGCATACACTGTCCACTCTGCTATCTACAGTACTGTACATTTAGTACTTTCACACTTACTGAATGTACAGTACAGTTTATGTAACTGTAATTACGTTTTACATTTTAACACTGCTTTAATGATATCCTTGCTGGATTATATGCTGGTACAGTACTGCACAATACAGATCATATGTGAAAACAGCAGTGAGTGAGGTAACAAGCTTGCACAAAGGCAGCAGACGATGAACTATGAGTGTCATGATACAAGAATTTGAGAGATAGGCTGCGAGATACAACAGACAATCATAGGCATCCCATGCAGGCACTACAGTAGTGACCAATCGTAGCTCATGAGCACTCTAAGCCTACTCACCCACACGCCTGGCACATGTCGCTGTGTCAAAGGCATGATAGAATCCCTTGGAAATTTGTTCCCATGCCTGGAATCGAGAGACTTTAACCAGAATGAAAAAAAAAAAAAATCCTGGCTATTGGAGAGTTCCAGGGATCGAAGATTCCAAGTGACAGAAGTTACTGTAGAGATATATGAAATTGAATTTAAAAAATTTGACAACGGGGAAGCCATTTTTAAATAGAATATTGTTGACTTATTAATGAAACAAAAACTCAAAGTTATGGAGAAAATTATATTGAATGTCTGAGGGTAAAATGTTTTCTTTACCATTTTAAGTATTTATATACACTAAAAACTTGCTGTGATATGGTAACAATGAACAACTATGATTCATGGTTCAGAAGGAACCGGTATGGCCCAGTACACAGGTGATGCATTACAACCTTCAGTACAGTACCAATAAATTTCACAAGTACAGTTATGACTACACTATCAGTAGTGTGGTCTTTAACAGGAAAAAATACCTACCGATAAACCAGAAACAAATACTGTATAATCAATTGAAGACTCTGATTAAAAAGGGTGACTTTATTTTATTCTAGAACCTTAAATGATTATATACAGTATTTTAGGACAAACATGAACCTAAAACTCAGTAGAAATAAAGTCTGATCATTGTGAAGAATATTTACCTTCACAATGATATGATAAGACTTTATTCCTACTGAGTTTTAGTTTCCTGTTTCTCGCATGTCCTAAAATAAAGTAAAGTACTGTAATCATTTTGGGTTCTCTAATAATAAAAATTGTCCCGTGTAAACTCACCTTAATAAGTCCTCTATTTCTACATTCAACTAATATTAGCTTATATACATTTATCCCTGCAGAAGCTTTATATTTTAATCAATAAATAGGAAGGAGCTAAGATGACTGACAACACTCTCTCTCTCTCTCTGAATATTGGAATTGAGAGGCACCACAACCCAGCCCAGAATACTGAACACACTGATAACGACTCCCAAAGCCACGATGTCACACGCCTCGATCTTTGAATACCGCTGCTTGGCGTCTATAGCATGACCTTCATTAAAGATCCTGGAGGTGGTCCCCGTCGTGAATTCGCACACAGTGTAGACCATATTTCTTTGGGCTAAACCTGTGAAGAAAACATGAAAGTTATTTTATAATACAGTACTGTATTGAGTCTTTACTGTATATAGTATTGTAATGTTACAGAAACAAAACTCCTTTACTCAGTGTGGGCAAAATTAACCTAACCAACCTGCTTCTTTTTTATATTTAGTATATTGTAAACATATTTCTTTATTACAAATCTACTCATAATTGATTACTTTTACCATTTAAGCATGTCAGTTTTCACTTTCACTTAATCGCTCTGAAAATGCCCAATCTATTATCAAGCATTTTGGCAAATGAGGTCATGATGCAGATTCTGTTCAAATTTCTGTTCAGGATTGAGCATGAAAGGTTAAGGTAATGCAGTGAGGAAAGGTTTAGTCAGGATAAGTCAGCAGAGGTTAGCATAGGCATGTCAACTACCGTACGTTTTTATGTGTTTTACTCTAAGTATCGACTAACCTCACCATTTAAACACATTACTTTACATTTTCCCAGGCAGAAAAACCCTTTACTTTAATATTACTGTACATAGATGCAGAAACAAACCAAAACAAAATAGTGTCTTCCTAGGGTGGTGAGTAGGGGAACAGTTACCTATACTATATCAAAGTTATTAACCTCAGGTCCTTCATGTAATGTACTGTACTAAAGTAGTTAAAAACATTAATTCCTGAGAGAAGAGCTCTAGGGTCAGTAGCAGCCTTCTAGTGAACACTACAGACAGCATCCCAGAGAACCCCGGTGATGTACGGTAGTAGAGGGAGTCCTCGACAGTACGTACTCTAAACTCTTACCTTACTATGTACTCTGTAATTCCAGTATTCGGAGAGATTCTGTTTATTATATCGGGATCGCCCGGGAGCTGACAGCCAAGAGTCTTATGGAGGTGAACATAGAGCTGTTTGAGAGCCGCTCCGTGGCTCACCACCAAAATCTTCTCCACTGGGACGACTTCTTCTAATGGCTGGAAAAATGTTGCTAAGTTTCATGAAACTCTTAATATATTGTAATAGAAAATGTAACACAGGTACAGTAACAACACTGCCACCTTTCTTTTTCATGCTCTCAAGCATTTTCCTACTACACTGTACCCTCATTAATTCAACAAAATAGGGGCTCTGGGTCACTTGAATTACCCAAAAATCAAATTAGCCAAGTTTGGAATATCCTGACATTCTTTGACAATTTTGGAATGTTTGTGTCAAATTATATGTTAGATTTCTGTTCAGTTTTTGCGCCTGGCCATGCCTTGGCTGCCACAAAATAATCTATTTATAATTACTGTGCAAAATTTATTGATTTTTTAAATGTACAGTCGGGGTCAAAAGTCTCGAACAGGTTGACAGTACAGTACAGTCAGTTCTGCTATAACGCGATAGTTGTGTTCTTGTAAAACATCGTGTTATAGAAATTCGCATAATAGAAATAACAGGGCTTATGGAGAAAATAGGGTTAGGTGCAGATTACTACTCGAAATCGAAAAAAATTTAGTAGTTAGCCTAACACAAAGGTTAGCACAGTCTAAATAAATGTTACATTCATATCTAATAATGAAATCATACAGTAAATGTAACACTTTACCTTGAAAAAATATGAATATTAACTTGATGGGGGGAGAAGGGTGATTTTGAAGTTGATAACATCGAGCTTCTCTTCAAGGGTTATAGCCCTTCTTTTACGATCATCACCGGGAATGCGATCACCAGAACGCTTCTTGGAGATATTCTTCTTTACCAAATTCACAGTTAATACCACAAAATTGGAGAAATAGTAAGCAAAAATCGCGTTACAGCAAACAAGCGTTCGCGTTATACAAATATCGTTCCTCTATTCATAAATCGCGTTAGAGCCAATTCGTGTTGTCAAAACACGCGTTATAGCAGAACTCACTGTATATGGCACGTAAGTACCCAAAGATCTTAGGTTAAAAGGAGGAGATATTGCTAAGTGTTCAAGACTTTTGACCCCAACTGTACATACAGTTTTAATAAAGTAAATAATACAGTATTAATAAATGTAACACTACGAGGTGAGCTGACGAGGCAGGAGGTGAGGTGACGTGACAAGGCACTTACACAACACACACACTAACAGCATTACTAAACCATTGTCTTATAACATTTTACTTTATAATTTCTATTTTAAAATTAATTGATACATAATGGCCCGATTTGGCTACTTTTGCACTTCGAGAATAAGGGTGTATGGAGATGCATTATACTCTCCAATCATATTGACTAAATTCTGATAAATATGCCACAATATTATTTACTAAATGCTCAAGAAAGACCCAGTGGTAAGCACCAACACTCTTGAGCAGCGACACCAATGGTGCTTGAGAGATGGTGAGAGCTGGCAACATTATTAGGGAGAGAAGGTCAGCAGGACTGATCAGCTGTTACCACTCTGTAAACATGAGACTGAGAATATAATACGGCACAACAGCTCGTCTGGGATTGAGTGTGGGATTTGGGGGGAAGTTAATTATTTCTTATGTTTTATTAACCTGGTACCAAATGAACATAAATAATATGGCAATTATTGTGAAATTGTATAATGTTGTTATAAGGGATAGCGAGCTGCCGAGCGGGAGGTGGTGAGTTGTCCTCCCTCCCACCTATCCTCGGCTACACACCAAACATTGTTTTATGCGGTATCTTAATACTGTAATTCATATTCTATTCCTATAATTCATTCATCTTAATCTATTTCATATTATATTCCTATATTAATAATTGACTTCATAACCACTGTTATTTCAGATTCATTCCAAAATCATATTGTTTAATTAATTTGTGAAAAATATAAGAATTAAGTTGAAATCCAAATTAAAGAGGGTACAGTGTATATATTCTCAGCAACACAGACCGTCCTCATGCTTCAAACATGTTGGTTTTCAGTTCATACAAAGGTACTCTTTTACATGCTGGTTTAAGATCTGGGTTCACAATGTCAAAATTCAAGTAATTAATGTTAATTAATGAGCTTTGAAATAATTTAATAAATACAAAATATTTAAAACGTCTATTACGTTGTGCCCGTATGTTTTAAATCACCCTTATATACATTTTCTATGTAATATAGACATTCGTTATGCTTTGAACAAGTTAAATTACAGTTTCTAGAGAAAAGGCATTTCATTGTGAAAAATGATGACCATTGTCTCCTTCATCCGTTATAACATATTGTTTCACACAAAATCACAGAGACACTTTTAGGAGAGAGTAAACAATACCACTACCTCAAGGCTCTCCATATCCTCTGCGTCTTCTCGGTCTTCAGGGAAGTTGTCAGCATTACCTGCTGTTCGGTGCTTGTTTTTGTCGTACACGGACTGACTCAATTCCTGCAATGCAAATTTTCAGTGTAATGGATGAATTGAAGCAACAACAATACTAACTGTTGTCTATATATTCTACTCTTTCATTCACCAGCAAACTGTCCACAAGTATTCCTTTCATGCAGAGAAACGACTTACAGGTTTAGAAGCAGAAATATAGTGTACAGTACAGTATATGAAACAGAGAACCAACACGACCACCTTCATGACTAATATCCTATACTGGGTTTTGTGATCGTTAACCTGCCATCAACACTGAAGTGCTAAATGAGACAAATCACTAAATAGTTTGACTAATTGAGTAAACAGTATGAGCACTACTACCACTAATAAAGTAATTTCTAAGCAAAGTTAAACAATCATTTCTAAACAATTTGGAGAGAGGTAGAGGCAACAAAAATGTAGAGTTTGTTGCACTGTTTTCTGAAGTAAAAAAGGACCGTAACACATGATAATAACTACAGTGAATTATGTATGGTCACACACACACACACACACTAAACCATTTCTAAATACATTATTCTTTAGTTTATGTTCTTCTTTTTAAACCTTACACCTGGCATTCCCTTCATATCTGAATTCAATTAACCTAATACCTGTATAATCACTTGAACACACCTGAGTTAAATCAAACAAATACAATCTGTTGAATTCTTATCTCCTTGTGTATGGGGTCCCCTCAGAGCTGAGTAAAATCATCTAGTATTAGTCAAATAACATATTGAAAGTGGCATCCCCGTAGTGAAGGGGATAAGCTTTGTGCCACTGTCATAGAATGCACTTATGGCCAAATAATTACATTTAGAATGTCTTACAGTCGAAGCTAAAACCAACATTTACAAAGGGGCCACCTTAAAGAACGAGACCATCCTCCCCTGCAGAACACCTAACGTCTCCGATCCCGATGGGTTGAAGTCTGGCCAGGTGAGGCCCTCTGCTGCTGCCATGACCTTGACATCATCCAGGCTCATGCCTTCCACACTCCCAAAATTCTGCAAGGAAAACAGACTAATCAGTGTACAATATTTGTATCTGAAGGGTTCTAGAGGTTAGGTTAAGAAAATAACATATATCTACCCCAAAACTATAAGTTGAAAAATAACCATAACACAACATACAGCTCACAAGTGGGGGAATGGCTGGAAATTTTCCGTCTTGGCCAGGGAATTACTTGGCGCTCATTTTACATAATTCGTTCCAGAACATAGCCAGTTTTCCGAGAGCTCCAGATACAAGGGCACCAGATAAACGGTCCCATACCTGTATTAACAACCTCAGAGAACCAATGCACAAAAAGTTATAAAGGTATTTGTGAGAGCAGTGGGTCAGAGAAGTGAATGAAAAAGTGAATCATAAGTGAGATAAAATCAAACACGGGATATACGGGCACAACCTGCAGGGTGTATGGGGAGGTGGAGGTGGTACCTGTGATCATCTGCCCTTACTACCACTCCCATCATGATCAAGTGTCAGTGACAGTAACCCTTGTCATGTGAGATCATGACCCCTGTCTACAGCCTCTCAGCTTCATGTTTCCATTAAAATGTTAACAATTTGACACCGACTGACAAAGAAGCAGGTTGGCAGTTTAGGGTAGAGGCAAATTATCTACACCTGACATAAATCACTAAATCTGGTACACTGATAACAAGCGGCCCATTGATAGACCTCCCTGATTAATCTTGTACTGGGAGGTGGTGGTCACACAGCACCTGACAAATTCCCAGCTCAAAATATCAGCTTCTCTGCTGGGCAAATAGTCATGAAAAATTACTTGTCCGGCCTCTAGTCTTGGTACACCTGGGCTGCTGGGCACTGCTAATCTGCACAGCCTGCTTTGAAAGGTGTCTGTATAATATGGTGTGGGAAGACCGGTGTAAGAAAGATTATATTGTCCAGGATTACCTGCTATGTTTTATTGCTGTGAGATGAGCAATTGTGGTGATATACAGATGTAAGACTGGCAGGGTAGCATGTGTGTGTGTGTGTGTGTGTGTGTGTACATTATCAGCAGATGGAAGGAACTGTGCAGCCTCAACAAAGAGACTTTATGGACTACTCTCTGTAAGATAATACAGGGAATGGATTAACGACTGTAGAGGAACATTAGCCACTGACCCTTTCCCTCAACCTGGTGTCAATCTTGATAGGAGGAGGTTTGCAAGAATTTTCTTTAAGAATGAGTTCACATGTTGAATAAGCTCGACACAAATCACTTGCATAAACTCTTGTGAAATCTGCTTTACACAGCCTTGTTCCAACCTGTAATTAAGTGAGGAAAATTTAGGCAAATTACATGACATTTTTTCTTATGATCACAGGTGTAGCATATAAAATGTATTCAAGAGTTTTACATCAATTAATTCGTCTGACACGAGAGATCTTGTGGGCTTCATTATACAGCAAATAAATACCTGGTGGGTCATAATAACCTCTACCTTGGTGGTCTGTCTCTCACACCTGAGTACTATACAGAAGTGAGATGTTACAGGCCATCAAGTATGATAAAGAACAGGATATAAAGCTCATCCTTTAACACTACAGTAATCACCACATGTTAATCCTTCAACAAAACCATCTACTGTACTGTATACTGTACAGTATAAGAGAGTTACTAAGTTACCTGTGATGCCTGCATCTCCCCAACAGAGCTCAGAGGAATATCTAAGTGGCCCTGGATCCGTTGTTCTCTGTTGGCTTTTGTCTCACCACTGAAGGGAGAAAATAAAGAAGGGAATATTATATAAAAGGTCAGTACAGTACACAGATACAGAATCTTAATAGACACATCTGGGGTAATCTTTACACAAAACAACAACAGTATTGAGGATAATCAATGTCTCTTGTGACCTTAACCCCTTGGCTACGGGAGGTTACCCTGAGCTGCCGGTAGCCAGAATAAAATGCAGCGAAAGGGTTAACTAAGCTATGAGGAACACCCTTCATGCTGAAGCCTCAATGAAAATCAACATAGAGTAAAACTGTAACAGTAATTATGATATAATTAATATTCAAATCTTACTCTTGAAGCCTTAACATTTTTACACACGCACACTCGGGTGCGCAAAAAAATCTATGTCTGTAGAAAATTCTTATGCCAAAGACATCTATTCCTCTCTATATGTTTATACTGCGCTACACCTTCACAGCATTCCTTTTATTTTCTACAACGGCTACAGAATGATACAACAACATGTCTTACAACTTTCAGCACGTGAAGACAAGACACTACAGTACTGCAGCTGTCAAATCTTTATCTTTAATCGGATTCAAATTTGACGTTTACACGTAAGGGATACTGTACAAGGTGAGAAAGTTCCACAAACATTAATGAAGGAACCAATAATATCTTACACTTCTCTTAAATAATGGAGTCATGCACAATACACAAGTTAGTTACTGCCCCCCGGAGACCGCAAGATAATGTAAGGTACCGGGAAATATTATGGGTATAGTATAGACCACAGCACTTATGAGCAGCACAGACTGGCGGCCTCACAGGCACCTTCACTGGGTCCATCCTTCCCCTGCCTCTCGAAACACACTCACACAACATTACATCCCCAAAATCATAATATAGTACAGTACTATGCTGTACCTGTAGTGAACAAGATAACTATATTGCATGGTACTTACTGCCTCACAAAAGTGATCGAGAAGACCACTGGAGTCACTCGTCGCATCGTGTCGTCTTTTGGTTCAGGAGTTTCCTTGACTATTTCTGACATAAGTCTTCGTTGAGATTCTGTAATAAATTATTTCATTTTAGTTCTGGAGAGACTGGGGTCTAAATGATGACTTGAGTAAAACACTAGTCTTTTGGTACGACGTAAAATCACAAGAATTGCTGCATTATTTACCACAAATGCAATATAAAGAGTTTTAAGTTTGCACTTCACGAAAAGACGTAAAATCATCAAGACAAAGGTAGGTAGGTTTTGTTAAGCTTGGTTTTGTCAGTTTTTGCTCCACAATTTCTCTTTACTTCAAAGCTCTGCCTACTATGTGAGATCAATATGGTGCTTTATAAAGTAAAGCTAAAAGTACAAAAAATAATAAATTTGCAACATTAATGCAATAAACTATTCTTACTTTTCTGCTCTATCTATCTATACAGTACACTTCAATTAAGGGTGAAACTATGGGCAAGTTTCTTTATGCCATTTGCCTCTATCTACCCAGCAGTAATTGGGAACCTGGATGTTAATCGAATTGTGGATCGTGTTCCGGGGTAATGGTTAGCCAGTGCAGTTGGTGAGTTGTCTGGTCTTCTTAAACTATTCCCTGACACTGGGTCATGCAGCTCGTTAACTCAGGGTGTGGTGGTTGTTGTGTTAGCATCAGCTTCTACACCTTAAACAAATTCACGCCTAGGTGGCCCTTGGGCCGCCCATCCTCGTTATACGAGGGGCAATCATTATTTATTATAGTATAAGCTAAGCAGTTGCACGCATTATAATCTCTCTGGGTAACTGAGGTGCAATAATGCAGGCACCAGTCTGGACATTTTCGATCAACTGACGGTCTTTAGCCTATCTCGGGTGAGTATAGTTGGATTCTAAGTGAACTACAGGTATATGTACATATACTGTACCGTACTTATTGTTCTTCCTCAAGGAGAACTGAGGGAGAAGAAAGCCATCTTGTTTTTCAATGGTGTTGTTATGGCGTCATTTTTGGCATAGTATCACAAGTTACCTGTGCTCGTGGAGGATGAAGGCCGTCTCCAATGTTCATTACTAAACATTACAGCAAATTTATTGTTAATGTTAGACCCAGATGTATCTTTCATATATTTCAAACTAAAACACGAGAAAAGATTGAACCAATACAGTCAGATACCGGCGAGCTAACTGATAACGACGGAGAAATGAGCAATAATTTGAACATGAACAGGTATTTATCAACAGTTTTCACCACCAAAAATTTAAACATGATACCCGAGGCACCGACTCTATACAGAGAGAGTGAAGAAAATATATTAAGCGAGATAGTAGTGACTAGTAACAATGTTAGTAAGCAAATAGACAAGTTAAAGCCTAATAAATCACCAGGTGCCGATGAGATATTTGCCCGAGTATTAAAGGAATGTAAGGAAGAGCTTAGTATGCCCTTAGCAAATTTGTTTAACATGTCATTAAAAATGTGTGTAGTACCAGAATCCTGGAGGATAGCGAATGTGATACCGATTTTCAAGAAGGGAGATAGATCACTTACTACCGTCCAATCAGTTTAACATCAATTTAGGCAAATTGCTGGAAGTAATAATTTCAAACCCTATAAGAAATCACCTGGAGAAGCACAAGTTACGAATGTGAATCATGGTTCATTGATCAAGTTCTACTAACATAAACTCATAAAATTCGTCCTTCATACCGACTTAACCCTCGGTGTTCACTCATTCACACACTTCATATTTCAGTGAACCAAAAGAGACATAAAACATATCTCAAACTCATTCCTGAACCTCTAGTCAGCTACTGTTTGAAGCGTGCAAGGTGGGCCGAGTTAGTAATGTGTGGGCCGAGTTGATTATTTAAGATGGGCCAAGTTGGAGGTTACGTTCTGTGCATTGTCGTGTTTAGTACTTCGGCACCTCAGCTATCATGAGAGGCACTACTCGGTCGAGTGCCACTACCTGGAGCTGGCGAACGCTCGCCCCACAAGGGGTCACAGCTCAAGGTTAAAGAAGCCGCAAGTCCAGAAAACCGTGAGGGCAAACCTTTTCGGATTGAGAGTTGTAAACTCTTGGAACAATCTACCAGAGAGTGTTGTGACGGCACCGAGTGTGAGCTCTTTCAAGACCAGACTTGACCAACACTGGAGCAGGTTCAGGTACATTCAGGAGCCGGTGCATGCCCAGTACTTGCCAACAGTGAGTAACAGAGACGTGACCGATCAGTGGTCAAGAGGATAAGGGTAAGAGTAAGTAAAAAAAAAGTATCATGCAAATAATATCTCAAGAAATGTTTCCGCAATTCCATAAAGTTGTTTTGGTGCTACCCATCTCCTCCACAAATTACCCTGTTAAGGAACTACCTGACCATTAGATAAATTAATTACACAGATTAACACGAAATACATAACTATGAACCCTAACCTAACCAAAGACACTAGAGCTACACAGGTCAGGAGTGTTAGTGTGCCTCCTCCTCCTCCTCTAACACGTCATTAACACAACAAAGAACACACAGACAGCATGATAGGCTGGTAAAGTGATAAATGGTAGTAATGAACAGTTCAACTCCCAACCTTAAGGACCAGGGTGAAGGGCCAGCCAACCAGTCCTCACTAGTTCCTCCTGGGGCGAGACACACACACTACTCCTCTCCTTGAATAGAAGAGTTAATACTAATAATCCAATCAAATATAATTAATTTTAAAATAATTCACTTCATCAGATTTAATATAACCCAACTATAACATGATCCAAGATAAAATAAACCATATACATTAGACTGAACTCTGCCTCACCAGTAACTTGTGACGGTCATTGAGGGAACATAACTAGAGGTCGCAGTGTATAATGTTTCCTTAAGTACTCCATATTGATCAATGTAAGTTTTACTTTTATTAAATATCAATTATAATTATTAACTTAAATAATACACACTGTGAACTTTGTGCTACACAGTCTTAGGCACTTGGTTGTGTTAAGGCACTAGATGGGTGTTAAGGATCAAGGTCACTGAGGCAGGTCATCATTAGGTCAAGGTCACTAAGGCCGGTCATCATTAGGTCAGTGGTGGTGTTGGTGTCCATGGTCAAGTTTATAGAAGCCACGGCCCTCTTCCCCTTCAACTCCACGCACCCTGTCAAGGCCTCACACCCTGTCAACGCCTCACACCCCGTCAACGCCTCACACCCTGTCAACGCCTCACACCCCGTCAACGCCTCACACCCCGTCAACGCCTCACACCCCGTCAATGCCTCACACCCCGTCAACGCGTCACCGTCAACGCCTCACACCCCGTCAACGCGTCACCCGTCAACGCCTGCACCGTCAACGCCTCACACCCGTCAACGCCTCACCCCGTCATGCCTCACACCCGTCAACGCGTCACACCCGTCAGCGCCTCACACCCGTCAACGTCACACCCCGTCAACGCCTCTACCCGTCAACCTCACGCGATCAGCGCCTCACCCGTCCAACGCCTCACACCCGTCAACGCCTCACGCGTCAACGCCTCACACCCGTCAACGCCTCACACCCCGTCAACGCCTCACACCCGTCAACGCCTCACACCCCGTCAACGCCTCACACCCCGTCAATGCCTCACACCCGTCAACGCGTCACACCCCGTCAACGCCTCACACCCGTCAACGCGTCACACCCGTCAACGCCTCACACCCGTCAACGCCCTCACACCCCATCAACGCCTCACACCCCGTCAACGCGTCACACCCCGTCAATATACACCCGTCAACGCCTCACACCCGTCAACGCCTCACCCGTCAACGCGTCACACCCGTCAACGCCTCCACACCCGTCAACGCCTCACACCCGTCAATGCCTCACACCCCGTCAACGCCTCACCCGTCAACGCCTCACACCCCGTCAACGCCTCACACCCCCGTCAACGCCTCACACCCCGTCAATGCCTCACACTCAGGTAAACAAGAGTAGAATAAGTGAGAGAGAAACAGCTAAACAATACAGGAACACCATGCCAGGGCAGTGTTTTGTTCCTCACCACCGGAGGCAGACCAGGCTGTAGAGCTCGAATCTTTTTATTTTCCAAATCTTAAACTGAACAATGTACTGTGCACCGCCCCCCGCCCCATGCTATGAACAATGTACTGTACACCCGCCATGCCATATAACATAAGCGTTTAGATGGAATCAATATTGTCTTTAATGTCACCTATGCATCTGTATTTTTCTGACTAAATAAACTGTTTCAATAATAATAATAATAATGAATAGTGATGATCATGAATAGTGACGATAAAAATAAGATTTAATATATTACTTATAAACCTTGACAACAAACAGGAAGCCTATGACCTCAGCTGTGAGAAGGAAAGTATAATGAAAACCGATATAAGGAGAGGAGGAGGAGGAAGAAAAGGAGGAGGAAGAAAAGGAGGAGGAAGAAAAGGAGGAGGAAGAAAAGGAGGAGGAGGAAAATAAGGAAGGAAGAGGAGGAAGAGAGGGCACTGGTGAAAGGAGTCGGAAAGTGGCAGACAGTGTTACCAGCTCAAGCTTCGACCACACCTGTCACCAGTCATGACACACATTGTCTGACCTATAAGATATGACCTTATTAACTTCACCTGTACCTGTGTTACCTGTACCTGTGTGTTACCTGTACCTTTGACCTATACCTGTGTAATGTGTATGACCTGTACTTGCGTGTGACCTGTACCTGTGTGTGACCTGTACCTGTGTGTGACCTGTACCTGTGTGTGACCTGTACCTGTGACCTGTACATGTGAACTGTACCTGTGACCTGTACCTGTGTGACCTGTACCTATGTGTGACCTTAACCCCATGACCCCAGCAGGTAAGGCACTGTGTCATACCTACCCAAGCTGACAGGTAAATTAAACAAAAATGTAATTAACACATATTACTGGCAGCTGTACCTGTATTCCCACTCTACCTTTGGCACACAGGTAAGTGTTATTAAATACAAACATGACGGACTACCTTTAATTAATATTCAAATTGATATAATCCAAAAGCGGAACAGAGAGTAAATTCTGTGTATAGTGTTACATCAAAGGAACTACACACACACACACACACACACACACACACACACACACACACAATCCTCCTACCCCATCTCTCCTCCCCTCCCTCCCCTCCCCATCTCTCCCCACCTCCCTCCCCCATCTCTCCCACCTCCCTCCTCCCCATCTCTCCCACCTCCCTCCTCCCCCATCTCTCTCCCACCTCCCTCCTCCCCCATCTCTCCCCACCTCCCCTCCTCCCCCCATCCCCTCCCACCTCCCTCCTCCCCCATCCCTCCCACCTCCCTCCTCCCCATCTCTCCCACCTCCCCTCCTCCCCCCATCTCTCCCACCTCCTCCTCCCCATCTCTCCCACCTCCCCTCCTCCCCCCCATCTCTCCCCCTCCCTCTCCCCCATCTCTCCCCCTCCCTCCTCCCCCCCATCTCCCCTCCCCTGGCCTAAAAATATTGTGGTACACCTGTTCAGTGCAACAAGCATGTTATATCTAATTCATTTTACAGTCTGTTTGACCTCTGCGTGTGTCTGTCTGTCTGTCTGTCTGTCTGTCTGTCTGTCTGTCTGTCTGTCTGTCTGTCTGTGTGAATCTCTGTCTGTCTGTCTGTCTGTCTGTCTGTCTGTCTGTCTGTCTGTCTGTAACGTGTAATAAAGTAATTGTGGCTTAGTAGTTATTTTAAAGGAGGGGTGGAGAAAAGAGGAGAGAGGAAAGGGAGAGAAGGAGAGAGGGGGTAGAGGGTAAAATGGGGAAGAGGGCAGGATGAAGAGGAGAAGAGGGAATGAGGGAAGAGGGGGGGGTCTCAGTTGAGGCAATCTACAGGTTAAAAAGTAAACAAGAGCCTCAACGCTATGTCCACAAAAGCTGATATTGGATTTTGTATTTTCTCCCAATGGTAAATAAACAATGTTGCCAATTCTCCCAGTTAAGTGAACCTTGAACCGAAAATGACCAGATATTTTTTTTTCAACAATTGTCAGGGAGATGGGGGGGGGGTTGTGGGGATGGGTGTTCTTGTTATATTTGGTTATTATCTCTCTGTCTCTTGGCTATCTCTTGTTGTATGTCTCTCAGTCCTCTAGTTTAAAGGTCTGTTTCTTGAGATTAGGTTCGGTCTCTTTTTCTCACTGTTAATCTCTCTCTCGCTCTTTCTCTCTCTCTCTCTCGGGTACTCTGAGGTAAACCGGCTTCCAGAGAACAAAATCGGCTGTCAGTTCACAAATCGGCTTTACAAAGGACGAGGCCCATTAGCGTTTGTTTACCTTTGTGATGAGCTGTGTCCTATCAGAAGTACCAACCTCTTTCAAAACAACTGGTAAGTCTGTTTAGGATGAAGGTATGGCGATCAGCTGAGATATACACCAGTAGAGCCAACCCTCTCGATCAAGCTGCCTGACCAAAACAAGTTATTAAGACTGAGTATAAACAGACTGGCGGGAAAACGTCCATTTGTTACCTAGAATCTGATGTTACGTTTGAGATCATTGCCTATTTTTCCACCTATGAGAGAGAGAGAGAGAGAGAGAGAGAGAGAGAGAGAGAGAGAGAGAGAGAGAGAGAGAGAGAGAGAGAGAGAGTGAATCATCCATCATCAAAACAAACGCTAGGTGCATACAATGTGTTCAGGAGGTGGTGAGGGAGGGAGGAGGTAGAGGGGGATAAGGGAGGAGGAGATGAGGGAGAGGAAGGTGGTGAGGGAGGGAGGAGGTAGAGGGGGGTAAGGCAGGTAGAGAGATGAAAGAGGTGGCATGAATGGATTTAATCTATTAGTGATGCCAGGAGCCTCTCTCGCTCTCTCTCTCACTGGAAGAAGAGCCTGACCGTAACCTTCCATCACAGGACACAACATCTACAGTCTCTGCGCTCATCCCACGCCATTCTACACACAGTCTTAAAACTTACGCCAGTACGGGAATTCAACAGCGTCCGGCGTGTGAATTAATCCCAAGAGGAAGCAAGAGACTAAGGGCAACATTACCTACCAGAAGGACAGATGTGGATAGACAGGTAGACAGACATAATTAGACGGATAGATATAGAGATAGATGGATCGCCAGGTGAAATAATTAGACAGACAGACAGTTCATATCGACTTCAATAGACAGAGAGCCAGATGGACAGATAACCAACACACATATAATTAAACGAGAGGTAGAGGCTACAGCCCTCACCTGTACACACCTGGATGAGAGAGTGGAGAGAGAGAGAGAGAGAGAGAGAGAGTGGATGAATGGGTAGATGAGAGAGAGAGAGATAGGGGGTGGGAGGGCGTTCATTACCGAGATGCACTGTACATGGGTTCGACTCTTACCTGTTCACACCAAACCCGTTGTATCATGAAGGTTATGTGTAGCACTTACGAGATGAAGAACTGAGAGAGAGAGAGAGAGAGAGAGAGAGAGAGAGAGAGAGAGAGAGAGAGAGAGAGAGAGAGAGAGAGAGAGAGAGAGAGAGAGAGAGAGAGAGAGAGAGAGAGAGAGAGAGAGAGAGAGAGAGAGAGTACTACGTTAGGCTCCTGATAGACTTAGCTGTAGTAATAAATAAACAGATACATAACACAATCCAATGGCTGTCATGCACGAGACTTCTAAAACACCTTGTCTCTCATAGCCCGTGTGTGTGTGTGTGTGTGTGTGTGTGTGTGTGTGTGTGTGTGTGTGTGTGTGTGTGTGTGTGTGTGTGTGTGTGTGTGTGGGTGGGTGTGTGTGTGTGTGTGTGGGTGTCCGCAAGAGGGTTGACCTTTACGTAATTAAAGTCAATGGTATCAGTATTTGGTAAAAGTATGACAGAGAGAGAGAGAGAGAGAGAGAGAGAGAGAGAGAGAGAGAGAGAGAGAGAGAGAGAGAGAGAGAGAGAGAGAGAGAGAGAGAGAGAGAGAGAGAGAGAGAGAGAGAGAAATTCTACCTCTCTTTCTCACATACACAAATACATACAATAAAAAGAAAAACCCGTCATCTACACAAATCGCCGAACAAAAACACCTCAACACAACATAACTCAGTCTACCCTCTATCTCCCACCATAGAAAACGTGATCAAACAGACGAAGAGCCACCCATAACTATTTTATCCTCAAATCAAACAGTACAGAGCAGCTTGACCAGGTCCTTTGATTCTTAAAATTCTCCTAAGATAAAATTATCTCTTTAATCGGGTACAAAAGAACGTAGGTATTATTGATAGAATGTCTGTCTGTTTTTTTTTACTTTAGTTTGTTGGAATTATTATTATTATTATTATTATTATTATTATTATTATTATTATTATTATTATTATTATTATTATTATTATTATTATTATAATTATTATTTACCCGACTCGCTATCTGAGACGTATAGAAGTAATGACAGAGGTCAGACCCCGAAATTGGCAATACTGAACCCTCATCACCAAAATTAAAGGGAATTTTCTTCGACAATGTGACCATTTCGTTGTGGCTATACTGCTTTATTGGACGTCCTGGACCAGAGAGAGAGAGAGAGAGAGAGAGAGAGAGAGATAGAGAGAGAGATAGAGAGAGCCACCGGGGTCCTAATGTAACATCAATATTAGTTACCTGTCCCCTTTAAGCTGTTTTAAGCGAGGCTACTCCAACACATACGAGCCAATAATCCAACCAAGAGTCTCAAAAAAACTTACATTAAATATTTATCTTAAGTCAAGGCCAAAGAATATATTTAACTGACTAATCAATGTAAAACACAAACAAAATATCTAAAAAATGGATTCCAAATTATACTGAGACTCTACCTACGGTCACTTTATACCAAATTGGGAGATAACATTAGAAAATAAGATGTTTTTTAATAGTATTTCGTTAATTAAGTGAATGTATCTAGTTAGGGTAGAGTCTCAGGGTAATTTTGAAGCCATTTTTATATAGTTTTGTGTTTTCAGTCAGTCAGTCAGTCAGTCAGTCAG